TTTCCATTATCATCTATTCAGCTATCCATACTGTCCTTATATTCAGAAAATGTAGCTCAATGTTTCCATTGTCATCTATTCAGCTATCTATAACACTCGGCAGACTCAATATTTGCATCACAATTGTATTTTATCTTTGTAGGCAAGTGATGGTGCCAGTGAAGTATATAAGACAATAGACTTAGCGTGTCCCATATCATGTGCCAGATTGATGGAACCAGTCAGAATAAATGGTATTGAAGAAATCTGTGAAAAAGCAGTTGTAGTCAAGAAAATACAAGGTACAAGTTTTGAAAATTATCTAACCAGGCCACTAAATCTGAATCATTATCTCACCAGGGCCATTGAACCTGAATGATTATCAGTCTAGGTCACTAAACCTGAATGATTATCAGACTAGGTCACTAAACCTAAATGATTATTTGATCAGGTCACTTCCAAGGTAATGACCGAAGCCTCCATCACCTCACCGGTGAATGGTTGTGAAGGTGTTGCCTCAATCGTTGATCCCACTACATTGAGCAAGGAGTCGGACCTTGGCAACTCTCGATCTCCCTCACTCATAGAATCAGACACATCGCCAGCCGTGGCTGGGGATTTCCCCTTTTTAGTGCGACGCTTACCAGCCTTTCTAATTGCTTGCCTTCAGCTTTTCACCTCTCCTCAAAGTGTTCTATGCTTGGGAATCTTATAGGTCGCAAATGCTCTCAAGGCTAAAACTCAAGTCCCGCACGCAACCCAAACAAGAGTGACAACACATATGCGGGTCCCAAAACGGCATTACTGAATGGTGGGATTAGCATGTCTTATGTGCCAATGATTTTGTCAGCACGTTCTTAAGCATTATGCAGTCTAGAAAAAGATTAGAAATGAGATTGTGAAAAACGAGAAAATTCACCCCGCCATAAAAGGATTCAAAATGAATTCAAAACTGAGCTGGCGATTAAAAAAAAAACAGGCAACACTAGAGCCCTAATAATGGAAAGGCCTTACCGTGATGTCGGGAGTCAGTCGATCGCCAAAAACTAGATTTCTAGGAAAGTTCAGTGAAGGAACTGTAATCTGCCTCTTTTGTCCAGTACACGCTTACAGAAAAAATAAAAATCCGCACTACATGCACCGGAAACAAAAATAGAATTAAAGGAATTACAGGCCTCGGGTGAGTGATCGCCCTGGGGTGTGACCTCTTAGGTGAGGCCTTTTTCTTAGAGAATGCTACCCTAGGGTGTTTCCTTTGGACCTGGGTATATTGTCTAGTAGTTTCCGTTTGAGGCTGTAATCTGTCATTAAGCCTAACAAGTATTGAATGAAATTTATTATTTCTACGTATTTTCTCGTAGGTATGATTAGGTTTGTGCAACCCTAGTAGTTAACAGCAAAGCTATCTCAGCCGATAGGCTCCTTGTTTTGTTAACTTGTTAACTTGACTGTGACTGATTACTGTCTTGCACTCTGATGACATACTGCGTACTTATCTTTCAGACGGTGACAAGGTTTGTGGCATAGTTGTACCACCGTCAGTTTTAGCCAATGTGAATCCTGCGTCTGACATTGAACGTTTATTACTCTGCCATCCATACTCTACTACATTATGCTATGTATGGCAGAAGCCAAAGAATTGTTTGTATGAGTAGGTATCTTTTTATGTCAATAACTGTGTTATAGTGACCATCTAAATTTTATGTGCTATCTCTGTGTCAACCAAGTACCCGGACATTAAACATGGTTTGCTCCAAATAACAATCATTATTGAATGAATGTCAGGCATTGTCTATTGCCGCCACGTTGATCCCATGGTACACTTATCCAGCACATTCTTATTTGGTGTTAAATCTCAGATTTGAACTTTAAAACAATCGATCATGGATCCAGCACAACCACCTTGCTCTTTTTAGTCCCTGTTTGAATGCAGTCTGAAAACAGGGATTATGGATTGACCTCTGTGTGTATGTGTGTCTGTGCATTCATCCGGACCTATATCTTAGACATGCCTGGACCTATTACATTCAATCTTCACACATACATAATAGTATACATATGCACATCAATTTGTTTCACGATCTGATTCAAGATGGCAGAATGGCAGCCATTTTTGTACTGAATAAATCATCAAAATCAAGCATTTCTCGGCTGTAACTTGGTACATACATTGGACATTATGGGAACTTGATGCATGTCATTTTGTTTTTCAGATCAGATTCAAAATGATCGACTTGCGGCCATTTTGTTTTAATTTATGCGGTTCTAGAGCCATATCTCTGACATGATTTGACTGATTATGTTCATTATATATTTATTATAAATCATGTCATAAATGTACAGATTTATTGGTTTGACAATCTGATTCAAAATGGCTGAATCATGGCCATTTTGTATTAATTAATGATGTTCCAGCGCAATATCTCTCAAAGTATTGTACTATGTTACTATAAACAAAACTATATGATTTGATAACTAACGGGGACTGTGCCATGCATGGCTAGTTATTTTTGACTCACTCACAATGGGAACCTGCATGTTTTCTGTGTATGTTAATTCATTATCAAGAACCAAGTAATATATTTAGAGTGACATCTAGAAATTTGGGAGAGGGTGTCAATTTTTAGTTAAATAGATTTTTAGGATAAAATTTGAAACCAATTTTCTTGTATTCGTTCCCTCAAAACTCTCAACTCTCCTGATCTTTAAATCTCCTGCGCAATTTTTTTTTTGTTAGACTAAAAGATATAAAACAAGAATCATTGATTAAAATGGAAGAGCAAATACTGTCATTTGATTATTTGAAATTATACCCACCGCTGAAATTGAAGAATCCTATGAATGTACCCAGTCCCTGCTTGACGTTAAACAGTAACGCTACTATGGTTGTCTACACCGGCATGGGTAAAGACGTGGGACATTCTCTGCATTTATATGACTCAGTTAAACAAAGCACACAGATAATACAGGCAGATGAACTTGCTTTAAGGTTAGTATGATTACAGGATTCTCATAAAAAATTAGGTAAGGAATCTTCTACTTAAGTACCTAGAATATTGTGCTGTATGTAGAAACATTTCTGCTTTTTTATTTTTTTACAAGACTCCATTTTTTGCTTTCCATGGGAAATCACTGATTTGGAATTGATTTGACAAGAGTCTTATATAATCTTTACTTTGAATGGGAAATCACTGGTTTAAGAAGTCTTGAATTGATTTTACAAGTCTTCTATATAATCTTTGGTTTTTCTGAGAGATCACTACTTTGGCAAGTTTTGAACTCTTGTTTAACTTTTTGACCAATTCTGTTTTTGAAAATGAAATTTACCCGCCTAGCTGCCATTTCGGTGTATTTTTAAATTATTCTTTTTTTCTGAAATACTTAATCAACCTGTCGTCGTCCATACATCTTCAGTAAACTTTTTCATTCAAATGACTTCTTCACCAAAACCATCAGCTGGATTGCCTTGCTATTCATACCACACCTATCTCGGATAGTTCTCTGTCAGATTTGTTCATTTCATGACGTCACATGCAATTTGTCATTTATGGTTAAAAATGATTTTTTCCACAACCGCTTGTCAGATTGCTTTGGAAATTTAGCATGACACTTTGTCATATTGTCTAACTTTGTCATTCTCAATTTAGTCATATGTACAGTAACCAAATAATGCAAAAATATATTCTGGTAATAGTGAGTAGTTAATAGTTGGTATTTAATGAAATTTCCTTTCCATTGTTTATGCTCTCTCTCTTGAACCAAATACATCAAAATACAGATGGTAACTATGTCATTGACAATATTTTATTTGTAGTTTGAGGAACTATCCCTTCTCTGCAGTTAGCTGTACAAAAGAAGTAGGGAAAGGGAACTTTACGAGAGAACCGACTGAGGCCATTGTGGTAATTAAAATATTATCTGTTTTCTTGTTCTCAGTACCTATCCAGTCGATTGGTAATTCATGACACAGATAGATTTTCATTTCTATTGTAGTCAGATTAAATTTATTCAATACACTGGGATTACCGGTAATTTTCTCTAAAAGTCACAATATAAGATAATTACCCTTCATATTCATATTTTCAGGTTTTGTTTGACACTAGCAGCTCAATGAATACGTCATGTTTTGGGTAAGATAATAAGTTGTATTGGCAACAATATGCTATGCATATTCGCATACCTGTTGAGAAGTGCTTGTTTTGGTTTACAAACAGTATCTACATTCATATCTTTTCAACAGTCTGTCAAATTATGTTTGTTTGGAAGAAACCACTCAGGTAACTCAAGTATTTGTTTTATTTTCCAGAGAGACAATGAAAAGGATTGATTCTATCAAACAGTTATTCCATGCATTTGCAAATAGAAGTATGGCGTACAACTTTGCCCATATTATTGGTCTGACTGAATTCAGCAGCGCAGTCACCGTGGTTGACAAATGTAATGAATCATTTGAACATTTCAAGGTAAGAAAGCAATCAATAATTTATGCAAATCATTTATTATTATGTTAATTAACCACTATTCTGAGAATTAAAAATATCTCTTCAGTAAACCATGTCTAAAGCAAAAAGAAAACCAAATGAACATGGAATGCCTTTGATGTTTTTTAAACAATTATTAACTGAAATGGAAAGGTATTTGAAGATTTGACTCTCTGATGTAGCAATTATTCGTGGAGGCAGTGTATAAAGGGCCTGTGTTAACACAGCTATTAGCTACATGTGCCACACAAGTAAAATATTGTTTTCAGAATTTGTATTGACAATATTTTTCAGATTGTCATAGTAATTAAGGGAAGAGTAGGAAATCAAACTCGCGGTTTACCGCGGTCATTACCGCGGTGGTGGTGGGTACTCGCCGGTCGACCGCATTTTATGCAAATTTATGCATAGATTCCATGACCCCGGTTTACCGCGGTTGTGTGCGGTAGGCTCACATGGCAATTTACACCCTATTGTTAAGACTATGAATGGACACAATAGACTGGGAAACTAAAGGTTACTTGCCGCCAAATTCAAATAATAAAAATCGAGTGGTACCAGAAGATTGGAAAAATCGTCTCTATTAGTTCGCAGAAGAACACTATTTTATTTTCACGAGTCTTGGTATAACATCGCAAAGCAACCCAGAATAATGTAGACCCCACATAATGTAAAATAATATCACATTATTTTGAATTTACATCATGTATAGTCTCAGGATTTATTTTAAAAGATTAATATTTCGCGTATACCAATATAATCGGACGAAGTATAAATTCCAAGTGTAAAACACTCGATGAGAGGCCGCAGTTTACGTTACCTCGAGACCATGCACTAAGTAGGAAAAGCAAGCCGAAGTCGAAGAGGGAGTGTCACACACTTGGTGCTACAATATATACTACAACAACTGGGTGATCAGCAAAAAAAATAGGGCACTTCTTGGCGAAACTGACTAATCTAATAAACCTTGGCCCAATTTTAACCCCAAGTCACGCGCTGAACAAGTGGGTTGTTACCTTGGTGACCATTCGCGCTGCGCGCGTTGACCTTTTTTTATACACATCCCATTACGCAAATTTTTACTGGCTCTGCGTTGCCTACGTAAAAATTGTTACCGTTCTGGTTATGAATATTTCCCCATTGCCGACGTGATAATGCGTTGCCTTCGTAATAATTACGCAAACTTATTTTCCATTGTTTACATACTGGCTGTGAATATTTCAACTTTGCCGACTTGATAATGCGTTGGCTTCGTAATAATTGCGCAAACTTGTTTTTCATTGTTTACGTACTGGCTGTGAATATTTCAACTTTGCCGACTTGATAATGCGTTGCCTTTGCAATAATTACGCAAACTTATTTTTATACCCCTGTCGACACCTCGAGTCAGGCTGCTATCACCCTTTCTATTTCAGTAATTGACGGTCTGTAGGTGTTAAGTTGTCACCTCCAACTGATTGAGCGGGCAATTAAATACGCGATAATACCAGACTTAGTTTTTCTACTTTAAAACTGACGGCAAAACACAATACAATCGTCCGGAGCCATCGAACTACGCGACTTAGTCGAAACCGCGACTTACTGCCTCAGAGACGGGGCCACTGAATAACTGTTGTTGATAATGTTATTGTAAACAAACACGCACACACAAAACATTAAAGCCAGAAAAG